GCCAAGGAGCTCCGGATACCCCCACCCAGAAGCCCCCAACCTGCAGAGTGAGTGGACCCAGCCCTGCCCCTGGAGAAACAGCCATGAGCAGGGAAGCTGAAGGTGGAAGAGCCCCATTGAACGTATTTGTAGACGCCAATATATCAGGCAGAAGTTTTTTTTTTCCTCTGGATTAGAGGAACTGGGGGAACTTCAATTCATTCATTCATTCATTTCTTCAACTAACCTTTACTGGGTGACAGAGCCTGCTGTCTGCCAGATACCCAGCTAGACACAAAACAGAATCAGATGGGGTCCCTTTCCCTCTGGTATCAAGTTCTGGGTTCAAATCCCTGCTCTCCCCTCCTGGCTATGTAGCCTGGGGCAAGTGGCTTAACCTCTCTGAGCCTCAGGTTCAAACAGAAAAGGGAATTTCCTTCCTTAACTTTGGTGGGGCTTACAGCCTCAGAGCCAAGAGACAGAAATCATTCTCAGCCAGAAGTTCTTGGGATGGAAGGGAATGTAGGATTTTGGTGGGCTCACAACTCCGTGCTGTGGGATGGCACATGAGCTGGCAGACGTTGACTCTGTGCCGCTGGGAGCTCCCTGAGGGAGTGCCCAAGTTCCCGGAATCCAGGCCATATTATCACAGTCACCCCTAAATCTCTTCAGTGGGCAGTACAGAACTGGCTGTTTAACTCTGAGGCCTAGGTTGTGAAGACTGGAAGATTGTTCTCTTTTTCTCTTTTCCTCCCTCCCTCCCTCCCTCCCTTCCCTCCTTCCTTCCTTTCCATTTTTTTGAGACAGAGCCTTGCTGTGTTGCCCAGGCTGGAGTGCAGTGGCACTATCTTGGCTCACTGCAACCTCTGTCTCCCAGATTCAAGTGATTCTCCTGACCCAGCCTCCCAACTAGCTGGGACTTCAGGCACGCACTACCATGCCTGGCTAATTTTTCTATTTTCAGTAGAGACAGAATTTCACCATGTTGGCCAGGCTTGTCTTGAACTCCTGACCTCATGATCTGCCCACCTTGGCCTCCCAAAGTGCTGGCATTACAGGCGTGAGCCACCATGCCAGGCCTCTCTTCCTGCTTGCCTGCCTTCCTGCCTTCCTGCCTTTTTGCCTTCCTTCCTAACTTCCTTCCTTCCTCTTTTTCTTTCCTTCACTTTCTTTCCTTTCCCTCTCTCCTTCCTTCCTTTTCTTTCTTTCTTTTTTTCTTTAACACAGTCTAGCTCTTGTCACCTAGGCTGGAGTACAGTGGCACAATCTCAGCCCACTGCAACCCCTGCCTCCCTCCCAAGTAGCTGGGACTACAGGCTTCTGCCACCACACCGGATGATTTTTATATTTTTAGTAGAGATGGGTTTCACCCTGTTGACCAGGCTGGTC